TCGGCAGCGCCGGGACTGTTTCAGCGTGTCGTCGACAGTCTGATCTCTGGAATCCCTGGTGTTGTGGCGTACCTGGATGATATCATCATCTCGGGAAAAACAAAACAAGAGCACAACGAGCGTGTGGAGGCTGTGTTGCGACGGTTACAAGACGCCAGACTGAGGGTCAACAAGGACAAGTGCCAGTTTGGCAAGACAAGCATAGAGTACCTTGGACACAAGATCGATGCTTCGGGGATTCACCCAAGTGCCAGCAAGGTTGCAGCAATCCACAGCGCTCCAGCTCCAACTAACAAAAAAGAACTACAAGCCTTCTTGGGCATGGTGAACTTCTACAGTCGATTCCTGGAAGGGAAGGCAGAGGTTGCAGAGATTTTGCATCGCCTGCTAGACGACGGGCGTAAGTGGACCTGGACAAGGGAACACCAGAACGCTTTTGAAAGCCTCAAGAAACTGCTGACTTCCGAGTCACTTCTGGTGAAGTACGACACCAGTCGTCCTCTGGTGCTATGCTGTGACGCCTCACCAGTGGGGGTTGGAGCAGTGTTGGCACACCAAGACAACGACGGGAATGAGCTTCCTATCGCATATGCCTCACGTACTCTTGGCAAGAGCGAGCGGAATTATGCACAAATCGACCGAGAAGGTCTTGCCGTTGTCTACGGGGTTAGACACTTTCACCAGTATCTGGCAGGAAGAAGTTTTACGATCATAACAGATCATAAGCCGCTACTGGGATTGTTTGGCACAGACAAGCGCATGCCTGAGGTCCTGTCACCTCGAATGCTACGGTGGACACTCCTGTTGAGTGCGTACAATTACCAGATCAAGTACCGGAAGGGTCAAGACAACTCTAACGCGGATGGTCTAAGCCGGCTGCCACTGCCTGGAGATGTTGACGAACCAGCACCACCCGGTGACATCCTGTTGCTTGAAGCCATCCAGTACCCTCCACTTCTGGCTACTGACATTGCGGGCTTGACTGGAAAGGACACCGTGCTCTCAAGGGTGAAGCAGTGGGTGCTCAGCGGATGGCCCGATGACAGTTCTGGTGGAGACTTCGCACCATTCGAAGTGAGGCAAACAGAATTGTCAGTGCATCGAGACTGTTTGTTATGGGGTAACCGTGTCGTGATCCCCAAGGCGGCAAGGAGCCAAGTCCTACAGCTCTTGCACGCAAATCATCCTGGAATGACGGCGATGAAGGCAATGGCTCGTAGCCTAATCTGGTGGCCGAAACTCGATGAAGAGATAGAGGAGTTTGTGCGCTACTGCGACAAGTGCCAAGCCAACCGTCAGAGCGACCCCAAGGCACCAGTACACTTCTGGATTAAACCAGAGCAGCCCTGGAGCAGGTTGCACGTCGACTTCGCAGGTCCAGTTAAGGGCGAGGTCTTCTTGGTGATCGTCGATGCTTATTCCAACTGGGTGGAAGTAGATATCATGCCATCGATGACCTCTACTGCCGTAATCAGGAGCCTGCGCAAGTGTTTTGCAACACATGGGTTGCCGGACGTCATTGTGTCCGATAATGGAACTGCATTCACCAGCCGAGAGATGCAAGACTTCCTCAAGCTCAATGCTGTCCGCTTTGTGTACACAGCTCCATACCACCCTGCAAGCAATGGCAGGGCAGAGCGGATGGTGAGGGAGGTGAAGGCGACACTCAAGAAGCAGTCGGAGGGAGATACCCAGTGCAGAATCTCGCGATTTCTGTTCAAACAGCACACCACCCCCCACTCAGTGACCGGCAAGACACCAGCTGAGATCATGATGGGACGGAAGTTGCGTTCGCCCCTGGACAGGCTTCATCCGGATCGGATTAGAGAACCGGAGAGACCAGACCTAAAGGTGAAGAAGTTCCAACTAGGAGATGCGGTCTACATGAGAAGTTTCATCCCTGGCCCGCGATGGAAAGCAGCAAAGGTGGTTGCCATAATGGGCCCAGTCTCGTACAAAGTGCAGCAGGAGAATGGCGAGACTCATCGACGCTACCGTGACCAGCTGCGCAAGGCTTGGCTGGACGTGAGCATCAACCCAACGAGCCGGGCCAAGGCTGTTCAACTGCCACCCATCACCTGTCGTCAAGAGCCAATGGAACAAGTGCCTTCACCAAATGCAGAGGTCCATGACCAGCCGACAAGTCCTCCTCCTCGAAGATCATCAAGACTGCGTCGACCAGTCTCCAGATTGGGACCTTATGTGTATTAACTAACGAGACTGTGCACCTTACTAAGAGGGGAGGGATGTAATGTAGTGACAAGTTTCACTGTTTTAGCTATGTTTAGCGGACTTTGTGTTTTGGTTGTCAACCTTGTTATCTGTTTGTTACCGGATCAGCAAAGTAAAACCTACCAGTCGTAACCAAGACCGCGATGTGTTCGGCTCAAGTCATTACAGAATGGGAGGACTTTTCTTAGAAATTTCGTTCGGGGTAGACTTTTACCTGGCAGCGTCAAAATCGCATATCGTCCACCTCACTCTGCTATCAGGATGTAATGGTATAGCATTACAGCACCCTGTAGCGTTCTCCCGCAATTTTCCCGCTCAGCACATATTTGCACGTAGAGCTGCGGTACACTCCGTTTCACCATGATGGACCGTAGCGGAGGCTACGAGCCATCTCAGCCAATCCGGCACTGCGAACATGGCACGTGTCCACGCCTTCCGGATGTCACGTTACACTCGCACGACGTTGAATTGGCTTCGATGACTATGCCGACGTCATCTGCGGTCCATCGTAAGATCCATCCCCCTAGAGGTTAGCCCGAAGGGTTAGAAGCGAAAGTGCGATCCATCATCTCTAACCATACGACGGGGCATAATAGCCTATGGACGGGGTGCGTGGGCCTCGCTATTTCTCGAGGCAAGCTCGTGGTATCACGGAACAACGGCGGCGTTCTCAGTGGGGGGTGGAATTAGGCACGGTTACTCCTTTCGCGGGACTATGCCAGTCTATGGTGCTACTCGACATATATACTCCCTTTTGGGGGAGTATCTCCCTCAGCAAGAAAGATAGAAAATGGAACTTTATGTCTATATCCAATTAGTGGTTATACGCAGAAACAGGTTATGCGAAGAGCATAATAGCGAATTATACATACATGAGGGTCAAGACAATACTGCCCTACCCAGAAAAAAAGAATGTTTTGGCGGTTCAAAGTCTAGACAAGGAACTCGGAAGAAAAGCACGTTCAAGAAAGATCAATAGTCGCGTCATAACAAACGGGTTGTTGAATCTAAAGCATAGTCGATTCTCACAGTCTCTGGTATCTTATAGAATCGTAGTACAACTCAAAACGTTTTTTTTTAAATTATTATTATGTTTACTGAGAACGGACTTATTACGTACGTCTGGTCACGGTGCTCGTCTTTTTTTAATTTTCTTTTTGACATTTGTCAATTTTACTTATCGGTGCAAAAAACGAAGACGGCATGTACTTGTGGACAGAGACCATCCTGGCCTAGAGAGGCACGCAGCTTATACAATTAGTTATAGCTAAGCAAGTGATTCGGAGACCGTCCCGTTGTTTGTTTGTTTTTTTCCCCGCTAGCAGCCTTTGATGTGTTGGAAACTGCGTGGCGTCGGTTCTGCAGTGTCCTAAAACACCTGCTTCGTGCAAACGTACTGTTGCAACAAACGACAAAAAAAAAAAAAAAAAAGGTGGCGTACATTTATGTAATTGTTGTTGCGCAACATGCGTTTCATCACGTCGACCTGGCTCTCGTAACGCGAATCGTCACACGAACTCTCTTTTCTTCTACATTGCTTTCTCGGAACTACGGTGTTGCGTCAGAAAAATTCTGATGTTTGCTCGGGTAAAAAAACACATACGTGTAAAAAAGAAAATAAAGGCTTGTTTTTGGAACATTTGTGAATGCACGGAGTGCCTACAGATGCACATTTTTTACGCGATAATGAGATTAGATTAGTGAGACCGTCCTCACGGGGATGTTGAAAGGACACTAAAAGTGGTTTCAGTGTTTAATTGCGTGGTTTGCAGTTTTAACAGATAGTTATAATCCAATTAGATGGTTTCTTGCAACATAACTCGATCAAACCGTTGGATGGAGCCAGGGCCGTACCCAGAAAAACATTTCGCGGGGGGGGGGGTTTCGGGGACAACGGCGGCCATTTTGAAAGTGTCTATGGCCTATTTTCGCCTATGAATCATGTGCGCAAACCGGTCCCAGTTTAGTACCCGGTAGCCGACCGGCGCCACTGCGCGTGCGCAGAGGTGGAGATTAAAATCGGCTGGCTGCCAGTGCACCGACCAGGGCCGTACCCAGAAAAAATTTTCGGGGGGGGTCAGAACCCCCTAACCCCCCCCCCCCCCCCCCCCTGGTTACGGCCCTGGATGGAGCGCAAGCTCGTATATCGCTGGCAGCCATTTTGACTCCTAACGTTGAGTCTTTATATTTCTGCCTCATCGCGAGCTGACAGCACTTCGCGGAATGCATATAACCGTAGCCTCCTCTGCATACAAGAAACACGAGCACTGAGACCGAAGGAAGCTGACAACGCGACCCGCATAAACTGTTTTGTTTGTCCGTGCTTTGTTTTGTTTCCTTCTTTCCCCACTGACGCCGTTTCGCGAGTTCTGAAACTCCCCGGCTACCCCTGTGGGCAGCACTCGGTATACGGTTTTCCAGCTGCACTCCACGCAGCAATTAAGTCGGTGATGGGCAAGACCCCTTAGAAGGGGCCATCAAATAGGAAGCTCGAAAGCGGAGCGCAAGTTCGTCTGCTTCTTTTTGCGGGGGTTGTGTTGACGTCAGAACGCCCAGTTCCAATTGGCTCCGATTGGAGGGATAGCGGGTAGACCTCAAGCAGCTTGCTTTGAGGTCTACCCACTATCCTTCATTCAGAGCCAATCGGAGCTCGGCGTTTTGACGTCACCACAACCCCCGCAAAAAGAAGCAGACGAACGCTTGTTCCATGTGGTTGCGCGCAGAAGGGGATTTTCTGAATGGTCTAGATCCAAACGGCATGCACTCACTCTCTGCTCCTCTGGCCGCCGACGTTCCTGCAGACGAGGCCCTCTTCGCAAGGACAGCGCTCGTTGATGATGTACTCAAGCCCTCCACGGGGAACGTAGCAGCCCTGGTTCCGACCCAGCCTGGGCTTGCACACGCGCTCGCCGTGTGTGCGGGCACAGCACAAGCCCCGTTTGCAGTCGGAGCTGCTCTCGCAACGGGCATCTGGGCACGGGAAACAGCGCACAAGGTTATTTACTATATACGATCATGAGGCCACACAAGATTAAAGGGTCCAGTTATGGGAAGTTCGCCACCGGTTCGAAAGCGTTACGAGATATTGGAGAATAATGCTGTGGTTGGCTATACTTGGTTTCACCTTAAAACGCAGCCGACGACGAGCTGATGGGATTAATCAGACAGCGTCAAAAGCACATCATCATGGTGTTCGTTATGTGTTCTATCATCGCTGAATCAATCAAAGTGACTGGCGCTTTTGACGCTGCTTGATTAGTCCGATTAGTTCATAGCGTAGGCTGCATCTAAGCTTAAACTCAATACGACGATTTTTTTTATGCAGACTTGCTCTTGACTTAGGCATTGCAGTTTATTTTATTTTCCTTGCTACGCAGCTTGTAATTCCGCCAAAGAGAAGAAGGTATTTAAATAGTTGAAATTGGTCGCAAATAGGCTTCATAGTAATTGCTTAGAAACAGCGCCCCCCCCCCCCCCCAACACACACACACACACACACACGCAAAAAAAAAGAAAAAGAACACGTACGTGTAACATCACTGCACTACACATCACTTCTCTAAAAGAAAAAAAACGAAAAAAAAAAAACGTCATTATTAATTGCATTCCACTTTGGGAATCGTTTCTAACCGATGGAAGAAACAAAAATTGGTGTGTTCATGTTTATGTACAGCCGGAATTCGCCTGCCTCCGTGCGTCTGGTATCTCAGTTGTATAGATGAGCAATTTAGCCAGTGCGGCACATCGATCCGATATCCCACCGATGGATGAGTTCTTAGGACATATCCCATGAGAACGGGCGTTCATTTTCTTATTTTCCAGACTAAAATATTTTAGGAAAATGAATAAATAAATAAAGGAAATTCTTTGGCTTAACACTTTCGCTTGCTGCGGACATCGAGGAGCGACTGTTTGCGGGATAAATTGATAACAATTTACTTCATATTCATGTCAGCTGCTACCAATCAAAGATTCCTAGCCCGTCGTCCAGATAGTCCACACCGGATGTTCTACATAAAAATTAAAAAAAAAAAAAAAGCGAAATTCCATTTTATTATTGAGTGCACGATCGTCGTGTGCGTGCTTTGCTTACCGAGGTGTCCCCTCTTGGGCGCCGGCTCGCACTTGCCGAACATGCAGAGTAGCCTGTCCCTGCAGTGCCTGTCCGCCCGGCATGGCTCGTCCCTGGACCGCTGGGCGTCGCAGTAGCCGTAGTGCGTGTCGCAGAACATGCTCTCGTCGCAGTCGTCGTCCCCGCTGCATCGCACCTGGCAAACATCGCGCGCATTCAGCCAAGCTGCTCGTATTCGCAACGGATGAATGCGTACAGGTCAGAGCCGTATACATATACGGCTCTGGTACAGGTCAGAGGTACAGGTGAATCGCCTTTAAATCAGGCGGCCGCTTACGCCACCTGGCGTTCACGGGAGGCGCGTCTGCGACGCTCCTTCGAGAGTGACCGCCCTGATCCAAAAGGGTTCTGGTGCAGCTGAATACTAAATACGCGGTATACCCTTCCAGACACACGGGTGGGAGCGCGCCTGCCCACTGTACGAGCAGTCAAGCGAGGACGTCCACCCTATGTGTTGTCGCGGTGCCCTGCCCTGGACCACTGTCGAACCCTCTGGGCGACCAGCGGAGAGAAAATCCCGGAAATGCTGGGACTCGGAAAAGAATTCCACCATCCTCGTGGAGTGGGAGAGGCTGCACGTGCAATCGCCCGAGTGGCCCGGGACGGGCCCCGTGGGAGTAATTCGGCATCCGCGGGAGCCGTGTCTGGCCAGTTGGCGGGAGGTGATTTGGCATTCTTTTGTGAATAGGACCCAGCTCGGGTGGTCATGGTGCTCCCTGTCATGAGCTCTCAGCTGCCCCAACAAACAGCCGAGCCAAAGCGAAATCACACGGACTCTTCGGAGTATTGTGATTCGGAATACCGGAAGTACCAAAGCTGCATCGAGACGGAGCGGCAGTGTGCACAATGTTGCGGCATCACCGAAAATAGCCTAACCTAAAAAAATAATCAGCAAAAAAACAAGAGAAAAAAAATTAATCTGTGCTTGCAAAATTGCCTTTTGCTGCCCCCGGTCTCAAAAGGGGCTATGAACAGCCAACTAACTAACTAACGTCACCCAGCGGAAAATATGTGAAGGAGAGGAGGAAGCAGCTATCACCTATCAAGAGCACAGCGAAAACTGGCGCAACGGCTTAGCGGCCGATAAGTGAAAAAAAAAAAAAAAAAAAAAAAGGTGTCAAATGCACAAGCTTGGAGTTGTACGAATACAATTCACACATGGGATATATGTCCCATGCCACCTGCACAGGTGGCGCCGGACTGTGTTACGCAGATTATGCGTACCTCCATTATATCAGTATGTCGGAGAAGACGAAGTAACCTCGTCGGTAGAATCAGGGCCTCGGATTAACTGTAATATTTTCCAAAATGAACTGTTTTCCAGACTTTGCACTCTATCAAAAGTGACAATTATACCGCAATGGCGAAATTAGCAGGCGCTGCTCGGCTCCCATCCGTCTCTGCCTGACGTCTTGGGCGCTAATTATTATTACGGAATATTGAAGGATAGCTGTAACTATATCGAGAGCCCTGTGCAGTAGTGTGGCACATCCGTATGGAGTTTTAGAAATCATTGCGCAAGTACGTTCATGAAATCGCTTTGCAGACTGTGTGTCTCCCTCCGATAGCGTATCAAGAAAGTTACCATCTTCTCTGTTGCAATTATTACGGTTATTTCATGCGCAATGTACGGGATTGAGAACGTATTTACTTACCATTACTCCGTTACTGGTATAGTTCCGCGATCCGTCTCTGACGGAACGGGACAGGGACACCGGATTCAACGCCCAACTCCACACGGCAGCGTTGCTTTCGACTAGAGAAAAGGCTAAGACAACGAGCACCAACTTCGTAGCCATTGCGTCCTTGTCAAGTTCACCGGAGAATGTTTCAGACGCGGCACACTGTTTCCAACTGACCTGGGCGAGGACACGAGCTTCCTTAAAAAGGACCAGCACCACGTGACCTGGACCACGCCTTTTCCCGCCCCAACGCGCACCTGTGGGACGTGGGGCGTACCTGTAACACCCCGAAGGAACTCAAACGCGTAAATGTTCCACCTTGAGATGGGCCTCAGCGGACGCTACGAGCCACAAGAGCCAATCAGATGTTGAGGGCGTGCCACGTAACCCCCCGGTATAGAGCTCAGCAATGCGAGGAGCGCAGCATCACGCGACACGCTCGCAGCGCTGTCTTGGCGGGAGGGACATCGGCCACGGTTCATCTTCGAATGAAACAGAAGTATTCAAACCAGTTCCGACGTAGCACGCGACCACTGTCCCAAAGAGCGTCAACAAATGGTCGAGAGCACAAGACGTTTACCTCCAGACACAATGGTCCGCCTCTAAGCGAGAAAGAGGGGAGCTTCGATTCATTCTGTGAGCACCTCTAAGCTTTAGTTGAGACCCCACTGTGCACATTTGGAGGGGATTGGGGTGAGGTGGTTATACGCTTGTTTATTTAGCCTATTAAAGACTATAAAATACTAAAAAGAAGGCATTAGCAAGATTGAACAAACCACAAAAGGTGCATACTATACGGTCGTGGGCGACAGGTGTTTCCCCCCCGGAACGCTGTTGGCACCTGAGTGGTTGTTTGGCCTGAAGTGATGTGGAGTTAATTTTCGCCCGTCTTCCTTCTTTCGCCGCTGCTTCTCTTTTTTTTTTTTTTTTTCGTGAAGGCGCGCACTCGAGATTTGGTTGGACGATTATCATTCGTTCGAATCTCTCCCCGCGTGCACGAGGGGTCCCGAGAAGGTAAGTGGATGCGCTGGCGAAGAACGTCTGGTCAAGTGGAGGGCTCTTTCTTGGAAATCGCTGCTTGGTTACTTAAGTTGACGAGTTTGGTTGTTTGGGCTCTGCAGTGGGTAATATGTACTGATGCTTCGGATGTGACATATCCCCGTTTTTGGGACGGCTCTACTGACAGCCTGCCCCTTCTTGTCAGCGCGAAGAGGGGTTTAACGGCTCATCTTCCACGAAATGTTTCTTGACAGGGGAAAAGATGCGAAATCTGGAGTTGTCCTACAATTGGGGGTTGGCACGCACGCATACTGTTCCAGAAGACGCTGAATGGGGTGCTTGACCCCACACGTGGGACGCACGTGCCGTGCTAATAAACACAAAAAAAAAAAAAAAAAAAAAACAATAATTGTAACTTTTTTTTTTTTGAGCTGGACGTCGATAAAAAATTGTGAACCGATGAATCGCCACCCTTTAACCATTTAATTAATCAGTCACGTTCATTTCCATGCATAATTTTGTATAAAGTCAAGATCACTTTTTCTTTTCTTTTTTGAATATCTATGTGATAAACGGCGTAATATAGAATTTAGATTATGAATCAACCTCGATGTGTAGTTTAGAACAGTTAAAAGACACTCACACTCACAAATTATAAATTCAGCAGCAGGGGCAAAGAGGTTCGCCGATATTCTCCGGCAAGAGCGACCTCGTTTGATTGTTCACAATACTCTCTGCTGAACTAAACGGACACTCGCACGGTGTTAATTGTGGCTGGGACATGTGAAACCTGCTACACTTGTCTCGGAAGTTACAAATCTCGCCCCTATAGTTTACTGAAGTTGCAATTTTACCTAAAACGTTCCCTTCATGCAGGCGTAATGGTCCAGGTCTACGTAGTGAAAGCGTTTAATTTTTACTTCCTTTTAGGTCTACAAAATTTTACAGATTAGCGGGCTAAAAAAATTACTCGCGATTAAAGCCTTACTCGATTAATCGGTAGGTTAATCGATCAATTGACTAGCTTTACTTTTTCCCCCACTTTATATGGACACAAACTAAATATTACTTATTGACTATCTAGTGATTGGCTGTCCAAGCCAGTCACTGTTATCCACGGAGAGAGCTCGAAAAATGACAAGACCGAAAAGAACGTTAAGTCACTGGAAAAAACAGTCTGCGACGGTCGCGGTGAGCGTGACTCTTCATGCAAAAACAGCGAGTGCGCAGGCGAGCTGGTGGATGTTGATCATGATGTAGAAAACCCGAGACTGTGGTAAAAGCAGGGAAACTTGGTCGAAGAACAAAGACAGGGGAAAACGAACGTCTCAAACGTTCTTTTCCCCTGTCATTGTTCTTCGACCAAGTTTCCCTGCTTTTACCACAGTCTCGGGTTTTCTTACATCATGATCAACTCTTTATGCGCAGCGCAAGTTCGTCTGCTTCATGTGCAGGGGTTGCTGTGACGTCAGACCGGCGAGCTCTGATTGGTTCTGATAGGAAAGATCGTGGGTAGACCTCCATGCTATATTGCCTCGAGGTCTACCCACTATCCATCCAATCGGAGCCAAGCAGAGCTCGGCGGTCTGACGTCACAGCAGCCCCTGCGCAAGAAGCAGACGAACTTGCGTTCCGCGCGTCTATGCATGGCCACAAACAACCCAGTTCCTTTATTTGTGGTTTGTTTTGATTTCCAAGACGAAGCGTAATTTCGTTATCACAACTTAAAAGCACTTACGGCGGACTGCGCAAAGTTTTAATTTGCCCTGCTTAGATTGTTCGCTGACGACTGTATTATATATAAAACAATAAAAAGCCACACCGACAATTTTACACCGCAGTAAGTTTTGGATAAGATACTGCGTTGGACTAAAAAATGGCAAATGAAGCTAAATTATGTGTAAAAAGCCGTCATAACAATCTCCTGTAAAACAAAAAAAAAAAAAAGTTTAATTTAGGCATTTACTTGACGGACAACCAGTAAAGCGGGTCGAGGAGTACAAGTGTTTAGGAGTTCTTTTTAAGAATAAATTGAACTGGAAGCAGCACTTAGAATTAACGGTTAACAAAGCGAGGGGCACTTTGTTTGCGTGTCGTAGGAAATTAAAATTTGCTGATTTTGACACTAAACTTATTGGTTATAAAAGTTTTATGAGGCCTGTGCTAGAATATGCTAGTTCAGTGTGGTGCCCTTCGACACAAAACGGTATTAATAGGCTTGAAAGTATCCAAAAGTTAGCTGCTCGGTTTATTTTTAATGATTATCGTAGAGAAACATCTTCCACTCAATTAGTTATTAGAGCGAAGCTTCAGCCGTTGCAAATGAGAGCAAAAATTGATAGATTAAAATTACTGTTCAATATCCTTAACGACACTCTTCATGTTCAAAGCTCTAACTATATACAACCATTATCGACCGGCGGGTCCTCACGTCTAAACCACACAAGAGCGTTAAAACAATAGAGGTTCAAAAACGACTGTTTTAGATATTCTTTTGTCTGTCGGGCAATTCAAGAATGGAACGAATTACCAAATGATGTCGTCGTCAACACAACTGTTGCTAATTTTGTTTATGCTGTTGAATTTATACTTAATTGAGTTTTAATTTATAAATCTGCATCTTGTTTACATGTTTGTACGCACTCCTACCATGGCCCCTTGAATGGAGCCAATAATGCCCCCCCCCCCCCCCCCCCCAAAAAAAAAAAAAAAATGGTTTGCTCTTCGTTTATGGTGCGTCGACAGTTGGTGAAGAATACGCGTATCGCGAACCCTTCCCTGTAGAATGCAGCTTTGCAGGCGGGACATCCTCTTGAAGTTGGAGAGGCCAAATGAAGCTCACTTAGCACGTGTCCCATATATGGACCATGATAAACGCCTCTCTAACTGAGACGCCTCCCGAAGGACAAACCCAAATCAAAATTAAAAATATTAAAAGTATTTTTTTTTTTTTTTTTAATAAAGAGCATGCGTATAAAGACTATCTCTGCTGCAAGACGTTAGCAGATTTGAAATTACGTACTAGAGTGCCGGAGGAATGATTTGTTTATACTAAAAGTCGGGCTACGCGAGAGGGCATGGCTGCTTGTCTATACCACGATGTTTAAAAAATCATAGCCCAGCTCTTCAGTAAGCGAGCAAAGCACTCGCCATTCGCACGAACTCCAGTGACGTAATTGCAGTGCCCTTTGCGCCAAAGTGCTTTCTGCTACATCTCACTACACTTCACTCAAATGTGAAAAATTGCGCCAACACTGCACCAAAACTTAATTTTGCTTTCTCATTAGTGAAGTAAATAGCCCAGGTTCCTCCGTCACACTGCCGGATAGTTACAGTGGGCTTGTACGAATTTTCGAAACTTTCGATTATCACTCGAAGTAACGACATATTCTATTTGATTTTCGTATCGAACACTGGCAGTACGCGGGAGTTCCGCCATACTTCTCGTTGTCCTTGGTTTCTTGTGCAGGTTAGGTAGCTTCTTTGAGTGCCCTTCTCCCCGAGCAAAATGTGTACTGGAGAGAAGCGATAGCCGTGATGTGCACATTGCGATTTTGCATATCTCACTTCGCCGCAGGGCAGCCATGTGCTAAGGGGAAGCATACTCCTCGAGAGCAGCATAATGCACACGCGTCGAGTGCTGAAAAAAAAAGAAAAAAATAGTAATGAAAAAATATTACACTTGGGGAATATCTGCAAGGCACGCAACTTTACTGCAGAAAAAATTTCAAAATAAAACAGCTGCCGTTTTATTTTGGCTGCAATATCCTGCCAAGTAGAGTGCATCATTATTCGTGACTTTTGCTTTGAAATTCGATATTTAAGGAACCTTCGTTGTAGCAGTGCGTTTATCGCCCACTTGCTCATTTCGCATTAGTTCAAGAATACATAAACAGTGCCATTAATATTCATAATTATTTTTAACAGTACCAAGGATTCTAGTTTTATGCACTTCAGCGAAATGGTAAATTTTGTACTACAGCCAATTTATTCTAAGATTATTTGAGTGTAATACAATTCGGTCTGCCCTCCATCAATTAAATACTTGTTTCAAAAGCGGCTCTTGCAATGAATCTTGAAACGGGAAAGATCCGCAAAAAAAAATAAAGGCAAAAAAC